TTTGCAGTTTATTTCCTGATCTACACATTTCCTTGTTGTTCAGTATTTCCTTTCTATTCTACGTTATACCTTCCATACTTTTGGCGGTCGCCTTAAATCTGTTCTAAATCCGCAATCAAGAAAGGCTATTCTTGTGAATTTGTTCGGAACTGAACAAAAATCACTTTTCAAACAAAAGTTATACTCATTTGAAAGTTGGTCCTTCGGGTCAGAAAGTGAGTCATCTAATTTCGAAAGTAATTCGTTGAAAGTGTGAGCAAATGTAAAAAAAATTCAATATGTCAATCATGGTAATGAAGTCACCAAATTCGATTCCAAGAAGAACTAGATTGTGAGTTGGCTGGGGGTGGTGGGAAAATGTTATTTAAGTAGAGTTCCGTTACAGCTTTGAATAAAAATATTCAATGGTTACAGTCAATAAGCATTATTCCAACCCCATTTAGGGGTGCATCCTTTCGTGATAGGAATTTTGAAAAAAATGGAAAAGGACCAAACCTATTTAAAGACGTGCCACCAGTTTTTATAACTCTTATAGTTGCTGAGAACAAATTTAAAGAAGAAATTCAAATTTCACCACTTTTATGGGGGTCGCTCCCAAACGTTAAACCCTCTGTTTATTGGGAAAAAGTGCTTGTTTTGATCACAGCTTCTCGTTGGACGAAAATTTAATATGATTTTGGACGAGCAAAAGCGTTATTGTCATGTAGAAGTCCGCAATTGCTAATTTGAAGCGGATCGGAAAATATCAGGTTACCAGTCAATTTCAGAAAAAAGAGGGTAATTCACCTTCTAGTAATTTGTTATGGACAGTGCAAAAATTAAAATCATTGGTAGGATTGACTCACTCAAACAAGAACAAAATAAAGGTTATACAGAAAAGCAAACCTGCAGTTACTTTGAGTAGGTTGGTACGAAAACGTTATAGTGAAACTATCCATAAGTAAATTAGTACAGTCAAATTAGATCAAATTTCCACGAATAGCGGAAGTAATTGAAAGAAAGCTGAAAATTGGTATAGAGTTACATTAGGGCTTGTATTCGAACATACAGTCGGGGCCGAAACTCCGAGAGCTCGAGCCGCCATCTTGGAAAAAAGGTACTCCAAATCACTTATTCGCTGATATCTCGGTAATCGTGCATTCTAGGGGTCTAGGACACTTCGCCGAATGCCCACAACGCCGACACGATTTTTTGAAGGTCCATATCGCCGATTAGGGACACTACGCCGACGGACACTACGCCGACCGTGCCCACATCGTCGACAAGTGTGCAAGGGACATAACGCCGACCATGCCCACTTCGCCGACGGACACTACGCCGATCGTGCCCACATTGCCGAAACGTGTGCAAGGGACACTAAGCCGAACGTGACCACAACGCCGACTGTTCGAAAATCCAGGCCCCTCATACTCTGTCCAGTGTATGAGTTTGCATTTTAAAAAGTTTAAAAAACATGTCCTAAACCTACAAATAACCTAATATCCAAAGCTGCTTTGCTTCACACTCCGTCCAGTTTGATTAAGAATTTTCGTATGAGTCTGTAGTTCGAAAAAAGTTAAAAAAAATATTCTGAACCTACAATAACCTAACGTCAAAAGCTACTTGGTGTTGCACACCGTCCAGCTTGATTAAGAAGTGTTGTATGAGTCGACGTTATGGTCACGTTCGGCTTAGTGTCCCTTGTTCACTTGTCGGCGATGTGGGCACGGTCGGCGTAGTGTCCGTCGGCGAAGTGGGCATGGTCGGCGTTGTGTCCCTTGCACACTTGTCGACGATGTGGGCACGGTCGGCGTAGTGTCCGTCGGCGTAGTGTCCCTAGTCGGCGATATGGACCTTCAAAAAATCGTGTCGGCGTTGTGGGCATTCGGCGAAATGTCCCGGCCTCCATTCTAGCAAGTAAAGTTTCATATAAAAAAAGAAAGATAATAAAATATTGTATAAAAAAGATGGTATGCACTTTTTTTGTATTTTCGATATTTACGTCGATATTCCACATTGAATATAGATCATACTCTTTTTTCAGATGTAGGTGTATTACTTTCAGCGCTCGCGTGCTTTAAACATGAATATGTTTAAAAAATTGATTTAGTTGACATTTTAGGGCCTGTTGACCAGTGAAGAGAAGGGCAGTTTTATCTAAAATTAAACACTTACGACATATCGTACTCACTCAACAGATGTGTGTTTTGTATTTCTCGTTAATACAATCACTGTTAATGTATGGAATTGTTGGCTGGGTGTATTTTATGCTAGTGAATCCTTATACAGTCTTATACAGGGTGGTGCCTAGCACGACGCAGCACAGGGATGTCAATGGTAATTTCTTTATAGTCAATTACTAGCTCCCCTAATTATTTTAGAGTAAAAGTCTAAAGAAGTTTTTGTAGAGAAAAAAATACTGCATCTGTTCATACGATTACTTATAATATTCCGTTTTTCAAAATCGTAGAAATTAACAAAATAGAAAGGTTCATTTTTCAATAAAACAAAATCCTCCAGTTCAGAAAAATATCCAAAATTACTGCCCAACATGCACTCTCATTATACACGCCAGGAAGACCATAATACACTTTTTCCAAGGTCTGAAAAAACAATCGGTAAACGATGTGCTCAGTACATTGCTCCAAGGCTTTATTCCATTCTACCGCGCGAAATGAAAAAAATATCTACGTATACCGCTTTCACGAAAAAAGTTCAGGTGTGAATACTGGAACAGCGCTATGTACTATTTCGCGAATTGTTAATGGAATTGTTTAGTTTAGTTTATTATTTTTAGTATTTTTTTTATGAAATGAAGTCAAGTTTGATTTATATTTTTTTTGTAATTGCCCCATATCCATTACAAGTAGTTCAAACGACTTCGGATTTTGGCAATATTTATTTTTCTTAGTTTCTTTATGTAGGTATCTTTTGTATTCGGCTATATAGTATAAAAATAAATATATTATGTACCTATGTATTATTTCCTTCTCTTAGGTGGTCAACAGGCCTTAACAATGTCAGTCAATTTTTTAAACATATGTTTAAAGCACGCGAGCGCTGAAAGTAATGCACCTGCATCTGAAAAAAGATGCTCTATATTCAATGTGGAATATCGACGTAAATAACGAAAATACAAAAAAAGTGCTTTCTTTCAATTATTTCCGCTATTTTTCCTAATTTGACTGGCCTAAATATGCAGTCGCATACCAAAAATTACTAAAATATCTGTAGTAAAAAATGACACTACCTACCTACTTTCTAATATACTCGTACACATATAGAGATAAGAAACAAACTAATCTCGTTGAATTGAACTTAAACTTAATTCCGAGCATTATTTTCGTTGATTAGGCCATAACGCAATTTAAAATGTAGGAAAAGTCCACTCAGTCTAGAAACATACTCAAGAGCTTAAGAATAATGTAAAATAGTGTCGTTTATGGTTTTTTCCCCTTTCACGGCATCCCATGGGTGCCATATTTTAATTCTTGATATCAATGTGAGACTTATTAACACAAAATAAACTAACAGAAACATCCTTTTTTTGAAGCTGTGACATCGAAAACCTAACGGTATGTGATATACACAGTTCTCCATTCAACTCCAAAGCATTCCGTGTGAGAATCTTTAGTTTTCGCACACCTATTGCAAGAATTATTATGCAAGGTTAGTATAATAAAAAAAAATATTCAAATTTAAAGGCGTTTCAACAACGCATATACGAGTTTTCCCTGTGCTATAAAATAAACGAGTTAAGCAAAATAGAAATTGAAGGTTTTTTATGAAATTCACGTAAATTGCGGTATTCTCCGCAAAAATCAAACTAAAGTTGAGTTTGTTAAACTTCTACATTAAAAGTTTCAAGTAAGTACTTCATAAAGTGAAAATTCTGTTTAAAGAGGGTATACGATAAGCGCCTGTATTTACAAAGTGAACACCCTAAATGGTAAGAAGCAATAAATTGCGATAGGTAAGAATAAGGAGAATCTGCCGAAGTTGTAAGGATATTTCAATGATTTCTCTATACGAAAATGCGCCGACAGCACTAAAAGCAGAAATCAATTAAAATGGTTTCCTTTTGTTTGAGAAAAAAAAAGCAATTTTCCCTAAAGTGTCAATCCGTTTATTTATGAAGGAAAGCTACTACTTACAAACTACCGAAAGGCATTAAAAACCTCTAAACAAATTAAAAAGCAGTAAAATAAATAATACAACGTTACAACCACATAACTTAATAATAATTACCCAATGAAAAGGGTTAAATAATTTACAGCACTATCAAATCTCATCGCGTCACAATTTATCACTGGAATGCTTATTTAATAGCCCCGAGGCTCGTCGGATTTACACGAACATTAACCGAACACATTCTTGCTTCATAAATTGCGTTCAACAAGTAGCTTATATACCGTGACGGTTATATTGTTATTACTGTACTTATGGTTGCTAACAGATGTAACCCTACTACCATTACATTACCGGGACATTAGACAATTTGTGCTCAAATATTAATAGTTAAACGCTTATTAAAATGGGCTTGAAACCGCACGTTTCGGTTGTGAATTTCGTTATAACTATAAACGGAATTATACGATAAAACTCACCCTCTACACCTACTAACAGTAAGACGATAGAAAGCACATTCACTAATCGACAAGAAGGATAAAACTGGAATAGATGTTAGATATTTGAAGCGGAATGAGGAACTGTAAGCTACTAGGTATTAAATAAAATTCCTTTAGAGATACAGAAGGTGACAGGCCGTAATTTTGTCCGACCTCCCGTAGTTAGGATTGAGATGTTTCAATGCTTTTATGCAAAACTAAGCTTTTACACACAAAAACTCATAAATTGCGGAAAGGCAATAAGTGTCAGTTGCGCAAGATACACTTGCAAGGTTAGCCAGGTAAATTATTTCTCGAGAAATATAGAAAGCACATACCTACAAATTTCGAAACTTTCTATACTTTTAGAACTTATAGACCTACTTGGTACAATATTGCATAAAAATAACTCACCGAATTGACTTCTCATCCACGGATAAAGCGGACTTGGTAACGCGGCGGGATTATTTGCAGTCTGTTGTTGTTGCTGCTGCTGCTGCTGCTGTTGTTGTTGCTGTTGTTGAAGAGAGGGTTGTTGGTGTGGAGCATTTTGTTGATGCATATTCCCACTTTGCTGAGCGCCGTACAGTAAGTGCGGCTGCTGGTGGTGACCTTGAGGGTGGTGTTGAGGGTGCTCTTGCATGTGGTGACCCATGTGATGATTACTCATACCTTGGGACGTATCCAAAGGTGGGCTGCCCGTACTTGAACCTAGAACTCCCCCGTGGTTTACGGCAGCCGCTTGTAATTTACAGCTGGCGTACACCACCGGTGTTTGGTGACCATTGGGCGCTCCATTGCTCACCATTTGTAAATTTGTCGGACTATCCGGCCTATACCCTTGATTTCCATCCATCTGTTGATGTTGAGCCCCATAATAAGCAGGATTTCTCATGTCCATTCTATCATAGGGAGGAAACCTAGGGTAGGGCATACCTTGAGGAGGTTGCCCTGCGGCCGGGGGACCGCCACCATAGTGGTGGGACGGTATTCCTTGTCGTAACCCAACAACCGAAGGATCACCACAAGAGTTAGGATCACTTTGTACGGCACCTCCACCTTGCGGCACCTGCACTGCTGCTCCATAATGTTGATGCTGATGCGGGTGTTCCGCTGACACAACTCCACCATTACGCATGTCCGGCATATACGAATTAGCAAAGTAAGAACTCATGCTCCAAGTTTGAGATCACCAATCACAATTAAGTGTTAGTGAAAACACTATTACTAAATTCACTCACAACCACGATTAATTGAAATTGTATCGTCCATCTTTGATAATTTAAACTCAAACAAAAACTCCACTTCAAGCACTTTCAAACTTGGACGAATCCTCTAAGTTTAGTATGTTCACGATTTCGAGGCGGCCAGCAGTCGCTTGTCTCTTGTCAACTGAAGATACTGTAGAATTTGTTGTATCACACCCTACAAAAAAACCGAAATCATTAGTACATAGAATCGAATAAATCTGAAAAGTACACTACAACTACTATTTTATTGTTGTCACCTTCCATCTTTGGATGTAAGAACATGATGGTGCTCCAATGGCAAATGGCCAAGTATACAACTAGAGGCCAGACAAGAAAATGAGTGACATATGTAAAATGAGACGGCTCATCATTTGGGTAACACGCTTCATATACACATGTGCCCGCGGAATGCGACACTTGCAGCTAGTTAGACCAGAATTCCGAAAAGAAGGAAGTTCTCCACCATTATGTATAGTCATTTAGAGAAGTATAACATGACAGATTAAATATTTTAAAACATAAAAATTCATTTGAATATGTATATTCTATTCGTAAGTTGCCAAAAGTTGTTTGATAGAATGTTAACAAGTGCAAAACCCACTTTGAACATTTTAAATATGATTAATGTCGCCGAATTAATTTTTTTCTCGTTATAAAGATGGAATATTAGCAAACTAAAAATTACGACTTTCATTATCAGGATGAACGATCATGTACGAGTATAAGCCGCAATCGTATATGACAAATGTACGAGTGTAGTGTCTCTATTGATAAATCATGTATTGTAAATCAAAAAGGTTTTTATGAAATTGAAGCGGTCCCCGCAAGTCAACAGGAGATTTACGATAATAAGGCAAGTGACTTGGAAAAGAATGTGTAATGTAAAAAGTAACATACAAACTATGTCGACCAGTAAAACTAGCAAACTAGTGACAGTGTACGTGACATGCAACCACACGTGTTTGATGCACAAGGTAACCGTGAAATAGCAAACAAGGTGTAGATGTTTCGGGAACTTGGCTCGTTTACTGCGGTCATGTCATAGGGCAGATACTCAGAACTGCTCTATAAATCCTCCGCAACAATCTAAACGAGATCTGGAAATCCTCACTTCTCAGAATACGAGTGATAATGGATGTGAAACTTCGTGTTTTACCTTTAGTAACGCGAGCGACAACTTAAAAGTAATATTTTAACATTATTAATTTAATTTAATTAAGCTAAACGAGCAAACCGACCACGAAATAATGTCGCTATCTTATGTAAGAATTTTATCTTAGTATGATGCTATCGGCTGACATATAACTATAACCGACTCAGACATGACGTTTATTGGCCCTTATTTACTGGGAACTGTGCATGATTTATTTCATCGCAATAATTTCCAGTCAAATTTCAATTCCTCATTAGGTGTCTCTCATCCCTACTTATAATGTGAATTTGTACAAAATTAATTCGTCGCAAAAAGTATAGAGGCCTCCTACATAGCTAGAGTTTTGTCAGTGAAGGATTCCGAAAAATGTGTGATTAATTATTTCTTTATTGTCAAGAGAATTGTTAAATCGTGCCTTTACGTGAACAAGATGGTATGCAAGATTAAATACTGTCTACTGTCTCCATCAGCGTCACGTTCGGAGATTGCGAATTTTACCTACTATGTCCCAAACTTGGAAGCAAAAAATCGCAAAAAAATATGTTACTAACAGGTCCATTAATTCAAAACACGTTGGCTTCTTCCCCATTCCGGATTTACAACTGGAGTATAACATCAAACGATTCGCCTAAACAATTTCAGCAAATGATGAAATTAAAAACAAAAGAGTACCAAATTTGGTAATGATCTCGAAGGAATTATGCAGCCACTTGTAACCTGTAATTAGAAAACCTCAAATCTTGTTTAAATTATCTCAGTCTAAATTTTTCCACATTATGATGAGAATGTTTCTTGATTTTCTCACTTGGAGATGTCCAACCTACTGCGGTTGAGCTCCACTCCGCAAAGGTAAAAAGCAAAAATGTGCGTGACCAGGAGATATTATACGCCACAGTAATGCTGAATTCACGCTAATGTATAGCTCAAAAAGTATAAAAGGTAGAGAAAATGAAATTAAAAAACCTAACAACGTTTCCAGAAGTAGGTAAAAAAATGTGTGAAATCCATCCAAAAAAGATCGCTTCGCGCCATAAAAAATCTCCCGCATGTCCTGAGTCCAAAAAAGTTATAAAATCTTGTTTGGGTCCCCCTGATAGGTCTTTGCCTCTCCCTGTTTGTCCCTCATTCACCTTTCTACTTCCTACTATCTGATGTTCACTTTCATAGCAACTCCTACTCAATTTATAGGTAGGTATCCTCTGAATCGATATTTTTTGGGGGATGTGGAAATTTCTCATGATTGGATATCTAATGGACTGTGTCACAATCCAGATAAGTGCAGTCCTCACCATTTATACTTTGCTGATTTGTGTTTTAGTCCCAACGTTTCTGAGTAAGTATTAGAACTTTGTACAAAAGTTACGAATCGGCCCACCGAGTACCAAGAGTGTCTTTTTCGATTTTTGGATGGGGGTTACAAATAATATAGCGTATTTTCCACAAGGAAAATTACCGCTATTGTCCGCACTTTGTCAGTCTGTCTGTCCATCTGTACCATTACCACGCCTCCAGTTTAAGCTTTTTTGTTGTGGTTTCTTTCTTATGCGGTTTAGCACAGCTCCAAGACCAGAACGACAAAAGATTTTTTTGGATTGGTCACTTCCTTCCCGCGTTATTACTAATTCTGTGGGAGGAAAATTCGATTTCGTCGGTCGAGAGTGACCAGGGACCTATAACACAAGCCGTACAAGTCCTACAATTGTTGGAATATATTTTACACTTGTAGGTTTTTCATAAACCAACTAATTTGTATTATATCGAATTCATTAGGACTTGTAGTTATAGTTACAGGCAGATTACTTTAGTTTACTTTTCCGCGTGTATATCATAAGTATAGAAAAAAGGCAGATGCGCCCTCAGTGTTTATCCACTTTTCTTGATATACGCTGAGTTTATTACCTTTACTGTAGTTTAAACTAAAAAGGGCAGATAATTTTTTTTTTCATGGAAAAAGGAACATTTTAAGCTAAATTTGTGTATATTCCAACTCGTTAGGTCTCGAAAGAAGATCGACATGAAAAAGATAAGAAAAAAACTTCGTTGGAAACGATTTCTATTTTTTTATACGAATTTAAAGAAGTTGCACCATAAAAAAAGTTACCTACAGTACCTACAGTCGGTGTTAGATATTCCCCATTCCTCTAGTTTTGCCACTATAAGTTAAGGATTGTAGTGGAAAATGTGGCATCAAAAAATTAATATTGAACTGCTGTCCTACGTGTCCCCTTCCACTGCCATCTGACATGGAATTGATGGAACCACTGTCTGAACAAAAAAAATCAACAACGAAGGTACAATGACGTTGGCTTAAAAGCCCCTATATAACACTGTACCTATTTTAGGTGACATTGATTTAGAAATCAGAATTATGACTTCCTTCTTGATAGATAGATTGTCAAGATAAGCAATAATAAGGTACTCTGCAAACCACTAAATATTTTAGATAAAAAGTACAATTTTGAGGGGCATTGCATAACAATATAAGTTGTATAGAACCTTATAGGTACATTGGAAATACCAATGCAACAAAATAATAATTCTGAAAGCTGCAAAATTTTGAAATTAAAACAACCATTTTTGAAGGATAGAAACATAGCTACCTCTCAAAGCCTATGCAATATGGAATCTTGCAGACTCCAATATTAACGTAATAGATTGGGATTCAATTAAAACTATACAATTTGGAACCGTTAAACTAGGTGTTTTGCATAGTTCACAGTCCTGCCTGTGGATATACCTTAGTCATACCATATTCTAAAATAATTTGAAAATAAATAGGATTCTGAGAAATGTAGAGTACTTATAGTAGAGACAGGGTTAGAAACAGATATAGATGATTTGAAAAGAGTGCCATGCAAGGTGGGTATAACCTTGGCGGATATAGAGTGGAAGTATGTGCTCGTCAGGAAGTGCTCTTTTTAGTAATGGAGTCGTGGTCTATAGAGCTTCGTGTGTTCGTGTACACCTTTCTGCCATTTAAATACAGAGACGTTTCCGAAATCATTTCAATGTTGGCCGTCATGGTAGTATAGTTGAATCCATTCCTCCTCGTTTGGTTGTACGTCATGCTCGGGCTCTTCGCAAGTGGGACCGATCATTTTGGCCTGCATTTTCATCCCTACTATCCAATAATTGCAGAAAAACGTCTACGGGATAAAATTCAGGCTTTCGGGACCAATTTGTTGGATAACATAACTGACGATATTGTTTTGATTACTCACTCACATTTGTCAAGGGTGGTAAACAAGCAGAATTTTAGGTATAGGGCTTATGAAAATTCACAACTGTATGAAAAACCTCTCCACAGCGAAACAGTAACTGTTTGGTGTAGATCAGCTAAGGCAGGAAGTGGCCTTCTCGGTCTCGGGACCTATCAGATTGTGACTACTTCAAAACATGAGTTTACGTGAACAAACTACGAACACTTGAATCCTTTATGGAAACAATAATACCTACTAGACAATCGAGCGGTTCTACTTGAATATGGACAACTTATCGAAACGTGTACAAAAACGCACACAATTGCCTTCTTCGTGCCTTGTAGTCGAATATGTTTTCATTTTGGAGTCACATGTCTAAAACCAGTCTACAAGAATTAATTTTTGGATATTAGTCATGAAAACAGAATTTCTCAGATGTTTAGAGTCTTAATTTATCTGATGGTGCGAAGTCAGCCTTAAAAATTATAAGTTCTCGACTCGCCGCGGTGCTTGCCATACCCGGGGAAAGATCGATTCAAATCTCTTGATCGCTAGTTTTGGTAACCTTGGTAGACTCAGTGTGGTCGGTGAACTCGAGAGGTTCGATGGGCTCTGCGAAATAGTAAGTGTCGACACTCACGTTCGGTTCGCCAATTCCTTTCATCGATGAGAATTGTGAAAATCACATTAATTATAAGTATTGCTCAACCGGGCGATATTGGCCGGTCGAAATAATTTTGAGCAACGATAATGGTCATAGACTGTCGGTGAATTGAACGTGAATATCGAGCTTAATACATTTCTTTACAAGAATTGTAGCTT